ATATACACGTGTGTATTTCTTTGATGACTCGGCAACGTAAGCGTAATTTGTCTTACTTTGAATTTTTGCCTCAATTGTTTTTTTTTTTTTTTTTTCGAGGACCTTCCACATGTCTTTTGTACATCACAAACGCCGCGCGCTCTCGTCAGCGAGATCATACCGCATTGCGATCACGTCGCGCGGGTACATACGTGTCCGATTTGTAAGGCGCGATGCACGAAGGCCTCCTTCTCACAATGAGAATGATTTCCAATATCGCTCGGCATACACCACTAGCACACACTCGTTTTCCTTGACACACCTCGAAGAGAATTGACGAACCTACGCGTTCGCAACACCGGCGCATCTCTCCCACACGCGCGACAAACTTTCGCGACAAGACCAAGTTCCTCTCCGGATTAATTATTTAGTCGATGATTAAATTTGACAATCATCGTGACAAATAACGCGGTTAAATTGGAAGAACCGAGATTATACAACGTTAGCTTCAATTTTCAGAAAACAATCTCAATTTTTTTTTTTTAATTTATTTACTCACAACGGAACAAGTCTCTGTGTTGCAAAATTGGACAACAAAACGAGTCACAATAAAAACAATGTAAATACATGCGCAAAAATTAAAACATCAAGCAAATGACATTATGAGACACAAGAAAACAAGGACAAAGAATTCAAGATGAGAGAAAATTAAGACGAGATGAAAGAAAAATCAAGAACATACAATATTGCTCGAAGTAAGAGAGAAGGAGAGAGAGAGAGAGAGAAAACACTTGTCCTAAATACGGAGCCGTTTTCTCTCGCGCGCAAAACTTTAGATTGATCTCGTAGTTCACCGAAAGTATTCTCCGAAGCCGATTCTCAAATCGAGAACTATCGCCGACAATTCTTATGCACGATCATCCGTTCAAATAAGACCGGCATGCATTGCTCGAATGCGCTTTCACGCTACGAGCCGCATCACTTCCGCCGCGCGCGGTGAAACCTTACTCCTTCGCGGATATTATTAAAACAGCGCGGGATCGCGCGAACGTTTAGCCGTTTCGTTTTAACGGGCGTTTGAACGAACCGACATTCATCGAGGCAACGAGAAAGACCGTTCGAGACAAACTGTTTCGTGACAAACGAACTTGCGCGTAACGCAAAAATAACAAAATGGCACGCCATATCTCGTGTGCAATATTTATCTATTCCAGTAGAGTGCAAAACAGGTTCAAGTGCTGTGAAACCGTGAAAGCTGAATGCGCGCAAAATCGTTCTGGAAAATTTATGCAACGATATTACGGAGATTTCTGATTTCACGTTTAAATTACGGCCGTAGTTTCTTTTGTCAAAAGTGAAAACGAATTATTTGCAATTAAAATTCAAATTGCGATGCAATAAATATTTTTTTTAAGTTTGACTTTGGCGGGATCACTGACCTCGGCCGCGCGGCCTTGGCGGGGCACTGACCTCGGCCGCGCGGCCTTGGTGGGGGAGGTTACTGACCCGGCCGCGCGACCTTGGCGGGGTCATTGACCTCGGTCACGCGACCGCAGCGAGGTCACTGACTTTAGTCACGTGATTATGGTATATATATAGATATGTGTGTGTGTGTATTATATATAGATATAGAATATTATATATAATACATATAATATTCTGTTTTATTCTTAAAAATAATAGCGTGCGCGTAGCGCGCGTCTGTGATGTGCTAGTTTAACAAAAGTATCGTATTAGCGTGTCTAAACGCGCTATAGATATTCAGGACGTTATTTGTGTTATGTACAATATTATAATGCGCGTTAAGTATGACAGATTATTATCGCGTGACAAAGCGAGAAACGCGCGCACACACACGCGCGCGCGCAACACATGCCGTCACAATTATTCTCGCCGACTGTGCGATTTAATTGTTCGCGGACGATCTCTCTCTCTCTCTCCTCTCTCTCTCTCTGTCTTTTTCTAACAGAAAGAAAAGAGATGTGTCTTTGGTTTGCGATCGCGAATGGCGATAGCGTCAAGTTGTCGCGCTAAATCCGCCGAGTGAAAACGGATTGTATTTTTACAGATCGCAATTTAGATACAAGTGTCGTCAACATTGAAAGCAATTAAGTGTCCTTGTGACAATGTGATCCGTCAATAAAAAGAATTGGCGGTCATTTACTTCGCGTCGCGCGAACACTGCGACGATTTCGCGAATTCCCAAACAGGAAGTAGAAAATTACCTAGATTGTGAGAAAGAGAGAGAGAGAGAGAGAGAGAGAGAGAGAGAGAAGAAAGGGAGCGAAAGTATTTTGTTTGACGTGCGACATATTGTTAAGAGGACAATGTTGACGGATGTGCGCGGGAAACGCGAATCCATTTATCCGCGTTTATTTTGCGGAACGCGAAATGTGTCTCGCCTCGTTTGCGTGTTGCGTTCGAAGTCTCAGGCGACGCCCCGTTGGCACAATTTTTCCTTTGGACGTGGAAAAAAAAAAAAAAAAAGGAAACGACGCCGCGCGTCGCTCCTGTGCCGTTTTACGAGCGATCTGCTTGCTCAATTGCGCTTGAAACGACAAATCGCAAAAGTAGAATTGTGGCGTAAAAAAAAAAAAAGTGGCTCACTTTCGATGCCGCGGCTTTTGTATAATTCGAGAATAAACGGAACTCGCGTAAATCTCTCTCGCAACGGCGACGGCGGCGGCGGCGGCGTCCCTGAAACTCCCCCTAAATCTGGATCTGAACTCGGTGCTGAAGAAAAAGTCAATTTTTCACGAGGAATATGCGCCCAAACGCGAGCGAGAAGTTTTATTCCGATGAGTTTCTCTCACCGCGGGACAAGTTTTTTTATCCGGCGAGAGTTGACAAGTGACAAATGGCGGGACGAATAGATAATTATCCGCTGCGCGCGCGAAATCACGTGAACCAGTCACGTTGAACTTACATTTATGCAAATTGGCAATAAACAAAAAAAAAGAGAGATATATCAGACATATCAGACAATCTTCCTCGCGTTTAAAAAAAAAAGCGCACCTCTTTGAGCAATATATAAAGAAAAAAAATGTGGGATTTACATGAGAACAGTTTTGCTCGAGCGAATCAAAAATTAAATATGCGATAAACAAAAATATTGACAGACACGTTCTTTTTCGCTAGTTTTTACGCGCCAACTTGTAAATGCGCATAACGCGCGCGTATCTCTTTGTTATACAAATTGCCAGAGATTTGGTTTTTTTTACATTCTCGGAAATATATCTCCAAAGAAACGTCGATTTGACTCTTTGCCAGCGATTGGCAACTTGTCAAGGATGCTCTCTTGCGTTCTTTAAGTGAAAATGAAGAAGCGACGGTGGGTTCGGTTCATTATCGACCCGAAATCCGATTCCAATTCGTTATTTCGTCTTCGCAATCTTAATTGTTCTTTTATCGACGCGAGACGTCCGAACGTCTCGAACCGACTTTCGCCGCCCGAATGACACATCGATGTGAAACAAATATTTCCTTACGATCTCTACGTATTTTGGATCGAATTCCGTTTCGCTTTTTTTGCGTCGCTACGGATACGTGACGTGTCATCCGCAAAATAGCGCGCGGTTAAAAAAAACGCGTCCGAACAGAAGAATCAAACGAATCGCGATATGATCGCGTGCGCGCACGATGAGAGATATAATCTCGCGCGCACGCGTGACAAAACATCGCGAACATCGATTGTGCGCCGTCACATTCGAGAAACTGTGTGCAATTAAAATTTGTGCGCTAAAAATCCATCTCTTTTTTTTTTTCTGTGGATAATACTTATCTCGCATTTTTGCCGCTAGTTTTATCATTCCTTTCAATTTTCTTTATCTAATGTGTGCTATGTCGCGCAGTTGCAATGTGTTTTTATCTTTTTTTATCTTCTCCGTGGAGAAAGTATCCTATCAATTTGATGAGACGTTATATTGCGTTTTTTCAAAAATTATTGAGAGAAAGTGAGTTAATTAAAAATGCATAAAAAATCAAATACGTCAGACAGAAATGTAACGCACACAGTCTGTAATTAAAATAATAAAACGTTCACGTACGCGCGGAAAGAAAGGATTTGTTAGATTATCACGAAGATTTAGTCACCATATGGCCGGCAAGAAAATTTTGCTATTGCGATTTTTTTGTTTTTTCAACAAAACGTTTTGCCGACGAAAACAAAATTCAGATTCAACAAATTTCTCCGCAGTTTGTTTGTTTGTTTTTTGAACATTTCTGAAATATAAATACCAAGCGACCGGACGAACGGTCGTGGGAGCGCGCGTTGTTACACATTTACCCATCAAATTATCCGCCTTAACTGATCCGGCACTTTGTTAATTAAAAATTGTGCGGCCCGAGGACCGCAGATGTAATTATTGTCAGCGGTAATGTACGGCGCGCGTGCGATAATTCGGATAATTGGTCAGCTGCTATCCGTCGTCGTCGTCGTCGTCGTCGTCGTCCGAAAGTCTGCTGCATTCATAAAAATTCTCGGGCCATAGAATAACGTCCGACCTACTTGTACACTGTGACTACTTTCACTTGCGAGGACGAGGTCGAGGCGCGGATGCACGGGCGGAACGAATTTCCGATTGACGCATCTTTCTTCCACCTCTCTCTCTCTCTCTCTCTCTCTTTCTCTCGGCGCTTCATTCTTAACAAACTCGATTTCTTTTGTCGTCAGTTACAGTTTTACAACAAACTTTCGTCCCGAACGCCGCGTTCGTTTTCAGAGCAGGACGGAACGTTTTCGCACGCTTTTTTCCTCTCGCGACATGTAAACAACGAGAAATTCGTTTTTATCCAACGTGCTTTTATTGACATCTTTCTTATTTATTTATTTTTTTTTTTTTAATTAATAATCATCGAGATAAAACGTAGTGCTAATTACTATAATTTATTTTTTAATTAACATTATTTGTTATAGAGTATTAAAAATAAAAAGAGTCGGTGTAGCTGTGCTATTTTACCAGTTCTTTTACGTTCTCGCTGTTTCACGCATTATGTTGCACACTCGTTCAATGTGTGAGAGTGTTACATTAAAGTCGTAAATCGCGCGGCAGCGATTTTGGGCATATTTTTTTAACAAACTGTTTTTCCCCAGAAGAATATTAACAACTAATAATCACGCAGTTCTTCTTCTTCACAGCGTCGAATATTTCGCCAAGACCGTTTCTCTCTGCGATATTATCCGGAGTTCTGTCGATAACAGAAAAAGAATGTTTTTTTTTTTTTTAGCAACAATGATTATAAATACATTAATAAGAGAAGAATGCGCGAAACTCTACGAAGCTCTACGTCTCTCTGATAGAAAAAAATTAATTAATTTACCTGGTAGCCAGATTCCACAGGATGTTCTGCAGGATGTTGGATTGCGGCTCGCCGCCGGCTAGGATCATCTCGCAGACCGATCGATCCTCGCAAACGGCCGACTCGAGCAGACGGGCGTGTTTGTGCTCGACCGGCAGGTCCGCCGATCGCAGTTTCGACAGGACGATGGGCGGCTGGCTGAGTAAAAGATTCGATTAAAAATCACGAGCGAGCGCACATTCTCTACGAAAAATAGAGAAATAAATCACTCACGTGGTGGTGCTGTTGACGCGCACGACGTTGGGCGTCAGCGTTGCCAGTAACAGACCAAGAGGCAGAAAAGTGCCGATCAGATGAATGATCTTCTTCCAAGGCGACGTTCTACGAACAAGACGCTATTGTTAAAACAAAGTCATTATTGTTACATATTAATTAAACATAAGATGTAGTCGGTAATTGGAAAAAATTGATTGCAACATTTAGTAGGGTCACGTGACAAGGAAAAGAGTAAAAATACCACGTGACTATACTTTAGGTCATTGACTTTTTCAAAGGTCATTGATTTTTTGAAAACGACCTTTAACGAAAGGTCAATGACCTAATATATATATAACCTAATATATACATATATATATATATATATGCCGGTATAATATATATAATATTATATATATATTATATATCTATATATATCTATATATAATATATATTATATATATTATATATAGATATAGAATATATTATATGTAATATATATGATATTCTTTTTTTTACTCTTCCCTGTCACTTGACCTTTCTTTAATCACGTTTTTAAAGACACGTGACTTTAGTCACGTGTTGTTTTTCCACTCCTCCCTCTCACTATTTTTTTGATTTTGATTTTCATGCGTTATTTCTGACATCTCTCTAATGTGTATTATACGGTTTGTAAGAGGTATATACTAGCTGTCATCGCGGTGACAGGTTGTGTTCACTTATATAACACGTTAAAATAAAAACAATAATAGCGTGCGCGTAACGCGCGCCTGTGTTGTGCTAGTTAAAAAAAATCTGTAACAAGAGAGAGAGAGAGAGAGAGAGAGCTTTGGTTTCACGCAACAATGTTGCTTCGTTAACATTTTAATTATCTTATTACGTTAGCGTTCTCTAATTTCTCTTTCTCATTTTAATGAATCTTCGTTACGCCCACCTTCTCGTTCGCGGGTGGTAACGCGGTTCCTCCGCGTATTGCACATTGTGATTTTCGCCACCCGGCTGATAAAACTGATAAGGAAATTTGTGCTTTCTCGTGTAAATCGACTCCTGTTGCTGAACCATTATCACGTCGTTGCCCTCCGGTTTCTTCGTCATCTCGAACGCGATCTCCTGCGGCCGATGAGCACCGCCCTGATCACCGGTAGTGTAGTAGCCGATGACGTACGGAGATCTCGAAACGTAATCGACCATGTAATCGACCATCGGATGAACAGTCAGTCGATGATCGCTCGTTAATTTCCCAAAGATCGTGTCCTGCGTCTCCGTCGGTTTGACGCCGACATTCTGAAGAAGCGTCTGATCGACGTACACGGCTTGCCGGGCGGAGGTGGTGTCCTCGAGCCGCGATCCCGAGCTCTCCGTGACGACTCGCTGACCGTCGTCGTGGTGAACACTCGGCGTCCGGACCGGCGCGCTGGAATCGTCGTCCTCGAATCTGATTCTGTTCGGCCGCGTCGATTCGTTCGGCACTTCGCTGTGGCGCGCATCCTGAACGATGCCATCCTCCTGAAACCGCGTGTCGAGCAGCTGCACGTTATTGTCAAATCTCACGTGTTGAACGTTGTTGAAGGGATTCGTTCGCGTTCTCGGTTGATCGATCTCGCCCAGATGCACGCTGGGTTTGAAAACGTCGGTGTCGTTTCGCGAAATAGCCACGATCGGCGACGTCGTCAGTTTTCGATCGTTAACGACGTTAATCGCAGACGGCGACGTCGTCGTTTCGGAATAATCAAACGATTCGTCGACGAAGGAGATTTTTTTATCGCGCGTATTTGCTTCGGACGTTGTTTCGATAATCGCGAAATCACCGATCAAAAGATGAAGCATCAAGAAGTGACGACCGAACTCGACGATCTCGAACAGACGCATGTTTTCCGCTCGATTGAGTCGATAAAATAATAATGTATACGATATGTGCGCCTTTGAACGAGCGGCCTGTTGAAGACAGACAGCTTCATTCCATTGCAAGGAGTTCTCGACTAAGGTATTTAGCGCGACGTGCCGCGACTTTAACTCCGTCGGGACGAAGATTCAACGCCAATTCTAAAAAGCGTGAACGTGGGAACGATTTCTTAATCGCTCTCCGCCCCGCACTCCAATTGTCGTTGACAAAAGTAAGTGCCGGGAGCGTTTAGTTCGAGCAGCGTGTCAGGTGGCGCGATGGATGTTGGTTGTTTGCGACGACGCGAAGATGTTTCGAAAGTATCGCCCCTCAATGATCGGACATTTGTTTAAAAAATTAACGATTAGATATTCAAATGTAACAATCATAACAATTCTTAATGTTGTTAAACATTTTGATGTATTTTTATTAGTTTTTAACTCTACATGTACATAAATAGTTTGTTATAATTATTGTTTCAATGAAAATATTAGACAAATATGACACTTGTTCGATAATTGGGATATTTATTAAAGAAATAACAATTGGATACGTAAATGTTAATTATAACAATTCTCAATGTTCAGTATTTTTGATATATATTTTTAATCACTGGTTTTTAACTTTACATGTAAAGTAGTTTGTTGCAATTGTTTCTTCGACAAATGTCGGATTACCGCTTGTTTGTTCACTGGAATAATTATATCTCGAGTGTAAAGCTTTTATATACGTGTGGAATACGCGTCTGCTACAATTTTCTCGCGCGATTACCCGAAACAAATTGAATGTTTGGCATCACGCTTGACGTAAACAAGAATAAATCCTGAGGACGACTTTTCCAAATTGCATAAGCGAGAAAATAAAACGATCCTTCATATCCCGGAATACAAGGTAACGAAGCGGAAGGGGTGAAAAGATGACTTTCTAAGCCAAGAGTTTTATCGCCGAGCGGTGAGAGTCTGACCCTGTTTTCGCGACGAGGTCATTTCGATATGTTCTATATGCGCTTCTATGTGCAGGATTGTTTGATCATTTATAATACCTCACGGAGAGAGATTCAATTCTTCACAGTTTCTATTTCTCGTTCTTCTGCAAAAAAAAAAAAAAAAAAAAAACAAACGCGGAATCGCGATATGACGCGTCGTTGAAATTTGAAGAAAATTACACAATCGCGCGATTCGCGGTGAGAGACGATAATTGTGAACAAAAAGAGAGAGAGAGAGAGATTTGCATATGCAATCGAGAAATTTACACATAACCCGAGATCGTTTTTGTTTTTTAATATGAAAAATATGCGACTTTCTCTTTTATGATCCGCCGTAAACAAAAATTTCTTATTACGAGATTGTTATTTCTCCGCGCGTTTAGAATTCGTGTCACTTGTGCAGTAAATTACACGCGATAGCAATCTCTCTCTGTTCAAATAAATACTTTCGTTGAGACTTTCTGTTATCGCGCGGAGATCCCCAACATCTGGACTACATTCGCGCGTTACCCCTTTTCACCCCTACCACCTTTCTTCTCCCGTATCGTTCTCTCGTCTCATCGCGACTCTCCCTCCGGACTATGGCCGACAATGAAAGTCGACGCTGCATTCTATTCGTAGTTCGTTCTTTTATTTTATTTTTTTTTTTCAAGCGTCGTCATCGCGGTCGTTTTCGCGGTTAGCTCGATACCGTCGTTAGATCGACCTAATTCCGGTTTCGAGTAGGTTAGCCGACCGCTCTGTAATCGGAATCGGAAGTAGATCCACGACGATCTTCGCGAAATATGCTCGAGTTTGTTTCGTTTAAATAAACAAAATCTATTTTGCAATTTGACCGATCGAACAAATTTTTGCAATATGATTAAATTCAAACGAATATTTTCGGAGACGATCGTGCGTTTTAACTAATGCGCAGGTAGCGCGGAAACGCGGCGATATAGATAAGAGAAGAAACCGTGTTCGCGTTTCTGGGTCGGGCGGCGGGCAAAAAGTCTTAGATATCGGTGAAAATCTGGCAGAAGAATCGGAAACTGCTCGTAAAACGGAAACTGCCGCGTTTCACTCGCGCGAGAATCATCATCGTCGGCGACGACGCGAAGGGGCGGGGAGTAACAAAGAGAGAAAAAAGAAACAACCGAACGACGAAGAGGTTTCTGGGCCGCGAAAGCGCAAAAATCGGTAAACGACCGATTCTGTGCGTTTTGTTCTGCCGATCCGATTCCGGAGAGCTCACCTATACGAACAAGGCCAAATCGACGATTTGCCGAGCATGAAATTCAAACGGCGGCCTTCTTTGTGTCCTTTACGCCGGTCGCGTGATGCGCCGCGTGTCCTTAATTGTGCGGTCGTCCAGCCAGAAACTCACCGTTTCCGGCATGTGATCTCTTGCACACACAGTTAACTCGCTGATAAATACCTGTATAAGAGATAAACACAGTATATTTATTGCAACTAAATACATTCACTGCTAAAACAAATTAATAAGCATGTGTATGTCTTGTAATATTAATTTATAACCACAATTTTCTATAATTTAATAACAATATTAAGTAATATATCTTTGTTTTAAATAATAATAGTAAATAAATAAAATTTATATTAATAAAAAAATAATGACATTAATTATTATTAAATAATATTAATTATCAGAGAATTTGTGTGTGTAGAGAGTAACATATAAATACATAGGTATTTTAATAAATTTTACAAGAACTTTTAATTAATAAAATTATAAGGAAAGTTAGTTTAACTCCGATAGAGAATATATCTCTCTTGTAAATAATAATAATATTAAATAATATTGAATGTCAGCGAATTTGTGTGCGTGTTTGTGTTTGTGTAGAAAAGAAATAAATAAATATAGATATAGGTATTTTAACAAGTTCCACAAGAATTTCTAATCAATAAAATTACAAGGAAGAAACTTTTTAGCCCCCGATAGATAAGTATTACAACAATCTTTGCTCTCAAGTGATAATTGCACATGTACTTTTAAAACTAATCGCACGTGAAATCAAGCGCACTGCTAAAAAAAAAAAAAAACAAAGATAAACCGGAAATAAATATTTCCGCACACGCGTTTCTGATTAAACAATTCGCGCACTTTTATCGCGTTGACTGACAATAAAAAAATAGAAAGATCTGAAAATTTCGCCTCATTATATCTTTCTAATGCAGCCGAAACTCGTCTATGAGAAAAGAACGCAAGAAGAGAGAGCGAACACACACAACTTCGTTGTCTTCTCGCGGAACGTTCTCAGTTCCGCCGCGTTTAAACGCGGTGAAAGTAGCATTTTGACAAAAGGTAAAATTCGCGCGAAAATGACACTGTCGCCCCGAACGCGCGCGGCGACCGAGCAAAAGGGGAGCTTGTTTGTCGCCGTATCGTCATTCCGGCGCTTGATTGTTACGAGCAACCGTTGCAATTAGCGCGTGACGAGCGCGGTCTAGGTCTGTTTCTTATTTCTTCCGTCATCACTCCGGTCACGGCGAACACATTTCCGAATACATTTCGCGAGCAATTACTTGCGCGCGTCAGAGGGAAAATAACGCAGATATAGAATAACGCGTGTGTGTGTGTGTGTGTGTGTCTCGAGCGATTGGTTTCGCGCCAACTTTTCTCGGCTAATCGCGGCTTCGTGATTTTTTTGATTTTTTGATCTCTTTATCTCTCTCCGAAGCGGCAATAATCCGCGGCAATTAAATCGCCGCGAGACTGCTCGCTAATGATCGCCTCGTCGATCTTTAGCACGCGTTCGTACGCGTCGAAGTTAGACGGATCTCGAATTACCGGCTTGAGATTTTTTGCGCCTTGTCACCGGAGAAGTGTGTCTGATTAGAGATGCTGATAAGTGAGAAAGCGTTATTGTAAATAAGCGAGCGTCGAATTGATTGTTTTTTTTTTTTTTTAGCGAGCAAATGTCGATCGACACTCGTGTGTTCGCCGGTAATAACGGAAACGCTTCTCGGAGATAATGAAACCCAACGTGTAGTTGACGAAAAAAAAAAAAAACAAAAAAAACAATCTTCTATTCGAACGCAACAAACTAAAAATGCGCGTGTAAAACACGCGCTGTGAGAGAGAATCGAAATTAAATCGTCGAATCGATTAGTTCGACGCGTGTCTTCCGACGGAGGTTCTCTCGAGATGTATACGAGCGAGAGATTCTCTCGTTCTTCGAGAGAAGCAGCTTGCGAGGTGGAGGAATTATAAAACAAACCGCGGACTTTTACGGCCGCCGCCGTCTTTCTCTCGGCCGCAACATAAACAGAATTAGAAAGATGTCTTGTTCCTCCCGTATACTTACAACTTTCCATCTTCATTATTTTCACCATATTTTCTCCATTATTTCACGAGTCATCTAGGGTTTATTATTTCTGCAAAATACAACGAGAACTTTCACGAACGCAAAGAGATGCCGAGGCGAGTAAACGTGTATCTCCATGTAAAAGCGGGATAGTATTTTGTTACCTACGAAAGAAAGAAAGAAAGAGAGAAAGAGAGAGAAACGCTGACGAGGAAGAAGCGAAATATACCTTGAAAAACCGCTACTCTCTGTATCCCGTACAACAGTATCTCAGCGCGTAAAAAAAAGAAAAAAACAAAAAAAAAACTAATAAAAATACGAACATCATTCACTCGCCGCAGCCCGACGGGCTTCGATCGTTGCCATCGATCATCGATCGTACATCGGCGACTGACCTCGCCTTCCATTGTGTCCATTGTATTCCAGGAACGATCGTTATCCGGGGGAGAGAAGAGGGAAGAGAGGGAGAGAGAAAGAGGAGGATCCGCGCGAGGAAACCCTCCGCGCGCGTATTGAAGACGCGATCGCGGAGCGAGAGGGAGGAAAACCGCGAAACACACCGACGCGCGAATACGGGAAAAAGATGGTCACGTGTAACAGGTTCGCGGGAGAGAAGGAAAGACAATTGCGTGGCGCCCGTTCTCTCCGAGAGATATAGACTCGAGAGCCGCGTGTGGTAAGAACGGAACACACCAACAACGGGTTGCGAGGATCGGAGGAGGACGCAAAATGGACCAAGCGCCGTTCAAGTGGGGATCTGGATTAAAAGCAAACGAGGGCAACGTCTTGGCAACAGAGTCATCTCGGACCTTGGAGGAGTCGAGGCCACGCCAAGTGACTGCCACTTCCGCTTTTCCATCCGTTTTGTTTTTTTTTTTTTTTTTTGTCGTTACGTCGCTGCCGTTTTGTTCTTTTGTTACAAATTTTTCTCACAACGGGACGGACGGATTCTCGCGTCTCTTTTGGGAGAGATCCGCGAACACGCCAAAAGTCTTCGGTGCGAGCCGGTGTGCCTCGTTGTTCATGTAATTGAAGAAGGGACGTCTGCTATCGACACGGTCAGTGTGCGACGATCCCGCTGTGAATTTATCCTCTTTTCTACGTCGTGACAATCTTTATAGCGTAATTAACACGGTAGAGAGAATGTCGCAGAGACCTAGACGAGTGAACAAAGTGGACGTTTTTTTTCCGAACGGTGACATGTGAATTCCGAATTATGAGAACTGCCGATGCAATTCTTCCGAGAAATTTTAGCTTCTCACTGTTGTGTGCAATTTCTTCTCTCGTCGTTCTCTCGACTTTGAACCAAAAGCAAACGAATATTTTGTCCGAGTCCCGTTTGGGACGACGACGTTCAAGATGAATTTTCTAACGCGATCGAACACAAAAAAAAGAAAGTGAAATCGACGATGCGAATATCTTCTATCTCTCTTTCATATATTCGTTTTACTTTATTTATTTATTGTAAAAAAAAAACAAAAAACAAATATTCTGTTCGATAAAATTCACGTCGCAACGCGAAATAAAGCTCTTTGTCTTTCAGATGACGCCGAGGGGAGCGCTATGTCTGCTCCTGACGATTCTGACGTTCGGAGGATCGCAGTGCGGCACGAGGTACTACGTGAAAATGAGGCCAAACGCGTCGGAAATGTTCAAGACCAAAGCCGACGGTTTGAGAATTCTTCACGAACCGAGCCACGCGTCAGCCACGTCGAACCCGTTGTACGCCGATAAAACCGAGATTGAGCATCAACTCGAGGATAAGAGGATGATCAAAGAGATATCGAACGATCAGTACAACCGTAGAAACTCGTTCGTCGAAACTTCAACCTTCAATCCGGATGTGCTTAACAAGTTTCTCGAAGAGTACGCGAACAAGATTAAGACAACCACCGAGAGGGACTTCAAGTATCCTTTTCGAATTGTGAAACCGCCGCCGGAACCGCTCGTTCTTGAAATCGACGACGAAACCACCGAGACCACGACCGCCCAGCAGCAGGAAGAGGACGAGAAATTCGATCAGAATGCGAACGCTACTTCGACAGACGATGCGGTAAGAAAAATATGATTTTTTTTTTTTTTTTTTTTGAAATAAAACAATAACGTAATAATTGTTGTTTGTCGAATGAATGCGAACTCCGCAGCAATCAAATACATTTGCAAAGAAATATAAATTTGAGAAGACAATAGAGTAAAGTGGAAAGTTTAAAATTAAGATAAAAGAGTGAAGAAAAATATGAAATTTGTTAGTTTTTAAATCCACTTTGTTGTTTTTTTTTTTTTTTTTTTTTATCAACAGCAATCTCAAATGATAAAATGATAATGTATTGTTGCTGCTGATTTAGCTGAGTGAGGCATTAAACGACACCGTGAAGAGAAACAAATATTACGGAGTGAGCACTTACGAGGATAGAAACGGTTGGGTGACACTGGAAGCAATTCCGTGGTCGAAAAGCAAGATTTCAAAGTGGCAAGCCAATCCCAGCACGCAACGGCCTTGGCCGGAGATAAAGCCGTGGGATAAACCGAGCATGAAGCCGTGGGCCAGCGACTATTCCATCAGACCCACTTATGAAAACAACAAACCGTGGTGAGTGCCGCAACCGCTAATTTTCCTTTCACTGCGCGAAGTTGTGTACAAATCGCGTAAAACAAGAAAAAAAAGCAAGCTTTACACTTATTGGAACGAGAAATATTTACTGTTAGCCTCTCTCTAATTCGAGGTCTGTTTGTTGTTTGAAACAAACGAGTTGTCTCCGTTTTTCGCGACGATATCGCGCGAAAGACCTAACTTGAATTATCTTTCACTCGGAAGAAGTGTGCGAATTTCGAAATAAATAAATCGAATCCCAGGTACGACAAGCCGAAGCCCTGGTCCGAGACCAGCGAGAAGCCGTGGCAAAAGCCGATCTCGCGACCCTCTTATCACTCGGACGACAACAACAATCAGGCGCAAATATGGCCGCCGGAAAGACCGTCCTGGAACAAGTACGGGGATTCTCATCGTCCCAACAGCGACATCATCACGGACGACCGACCGGCAAATTTCCCGAGCACCTGGTCCAAGCCGCAAACAGCCAAGCCCTCCTCGTATCAGTTTACCGACAGGTACCCGGAGAAGGACCAATCGAGCGACGGCAGCAACTGGCACGATTATCCGTCCAAATACGAACAGGATCGTCCGCGACCCACGCTGATCACCGAGAGACCGAACTTCTCGCACTATCAGTACATTAACAATCAGTACGTTAGCAGCCATCCGCCCAGTCATCCGGCGAGCGGCGACGGTCAGTGGGTCCTACTGTCGACCAACAGGGGATACTCCAAATCGAGACAGAGATCGATCAAGATCGACGCGATAAATCCGGAAACGTTGAAGAACACGACGAGTCGCAAAAATGGGAACGGAGAGGATCCGGCGGTATCTGTGATGACCTCGAAGCGCCAGGTTAGGCTAGATGATCAAAGAAGCTTTTCCTAGCTCATAATTTTGCGTCCGGTTAATTACTGAACTTCACGTGTGACGTAAATTAAAGATTATTAGTTAAAAAAAAAAAAAAAAAATTGATATTTTTCTGGATTTCGCGGGATATTGATTGTTGAACGGTGTAGCTTCGAGATTAATCGAAGAGAAACGTCACTGACGGCCGCTTCATGAAAGATCGTTTACCTAGGTCAGATTGACGGTGTTGCCGTCGGTCAACGGCACGAACACGACGACGTCCCACGGAGGTCTCCTGGAGGTCGAGAAGACGTTCAAGAGCGTCGACCAGAGTCGCAAGGAGTACGAGATGGAGAGACTGTCGACCGTGCCGAACATCTTGAACAAGAGACCGATCAGGAACACCGTGGCCGCGCAGCCGTCGAGTTCGGCCGTTTTGGCGGCCGTCGGAGCAGGTACGATGTAAAAACAAATTGATCTGAAAAAAATTACATCAGATCGCAAATACGTTCTTTTGATAATTATTTGGTGCATTTCTGCAGGATGTCCTCTAAATATTTGATTTGATTTGTCTCAATTATTATGTTTAGTTAATTTTATTTATAATTAAAAAAATAAGAGGGAAGTAAGAAGACTCGAAGTTTAACAAAACAAAAAATAAAGATAATAAAATTAAGAATTAATTAAATCTTAAATTGAAGATATAAAATAACGAATTATAAAAAGAGATATAAAATGTAAATAAAATATAAAATTAATTGGCTACGAATTATTATTTTATTATTTTACTTATGTGATATATTTACGTGCGACGACAGGTATGTTGCCGGCGACAATGGCGATGATGATACCGATGATGCTGGGTCGGCGAAAGAGAGACTTGAGACTAACGGGGCTGAATCTACGAACGTCCAGTGATTTCGCAGTAAACGATTTGCCCAACAAACTCGCGACGGAATACAACAACCGACAGGACCGTAGGTACTAAAGCTTAGCCAGAATTCACCTCAAGAAGAACTCTCTCATTAACGGCGATGTGGAGAAGCGCGCAACATGTGCGAATGACGTTTGAAGTTTTCGAGAATGCGGGACGAGGCATTAGGGAATGCAAGAAAAAACGGAAGTGGCAACCGGTACTGCGTTACCGGTTTCCAGCGAGAGAAAAAAATGCTTGGTTACAAAATATTCGCGTGTTTGCAAAAACACATCAATTTCCGGAAGCGGCGTCAGAATAATTTTTTATTAACTCGCGAGTTAATTAGTCGCAAAGAAAATCAAGTTCAATTTCGGCTCCGATTCTTATCGCCGCGTATTCGTGCGTATTTACACACGATTTCATGAATATTGATCAATTAAAAGATAATTGTAAGCGAATATTTATTTGGACATCGACGCGCTTCGACGCGGACGTAACTTTATTCAATTTAAATTTATCGCACAGCATTAACGCGTTATTATAGCGATAAGAGAGAGAGAGAGAAGCGCGTTTCACAATCTCAAGTAATTTTTATACCGCGTATAAATGTAACGGCCGAATTTACATCCGTGCCGGATTTTTACACACACCTCGGATTATTCGACTCGCGCTCGCAGAGATTAAAAAACCAAAAACCAAAAAAAAAAAAAAAGAAAACCTATTTGAAATCAAGTCCGGATGTTCGCGGATCTACTATTGAAAGTTTATCGATTACATCGCTTCTTGACGTGTGTTTGAAAGAAACAGAAAATATCGCAGCGTTTTTACAATCTCCATTATTTATTTACATAACGTGTGTATCAGGATATTACATAGAAGTTTGCATACTCTTATTTATTTATTTATTTATTTATTCCGTTCAGCTATTTATTTATTTATGTAGTACACAGTTATAAGTTGTCTATCCAGTAGCTCTCATCGGCAGCTCCTCCGTAACGTCTTCGCTCGCGTCTCCGGCGAGAGGGAAAGAGAGCAGCACAAACCAAAATACATATACGCTGTAATGTAGAGGAAAGAAAAAAAATAGAGAGAAAGAGATATTTTAAGCGGATTTTCAATAAAAACTGTTTATCGATTCTTGTTTTGTAAGGAAGAGAGAAATCTCTTTGGGGAAGAAAAAAAAAAAAAAAAAAAAAAACAACCCTTCACCACAATCCCGCGCTTATCTCTCTCGGCCGTCCTGATTTCAACAAAGTTTCGCGCGCGCGATCAAGACGCATTCCGCGCGAGACCCGAAGACCGACGCTCACGTCACAATCGAACACATTATCTTTGCCGTATAAACAAAAAACAAAAAAACAAACAAACAAAAGCGGATCGCGTCGTTTTTTTCGTCGATCATCGATCCCACACGCGTCGAAGAAAATTTATACGAAGAATACAGAGTCTGGATGAAGAATCCTTATCGTGCGCGTAAAACAAAACGAGAGATGTAGATCCTTGAAGAGGGAAGACGAGTCGCGTAACAGTAGTTCGTGTGTTCATCTTCATCGTTTTAGCTTTCTAAGTGAAAGGACGATCGTCGCTCGTCGCCTGGCGGCGCGAAAACATAAAAATATTGCGACGATCGCGTTTCTCGTGAAATCTCGAATCGACCGTGAAGAAACTGCTTCTTCACGTTCACCGACTACCGTTACGAGACTCTGTTTCTTGTGCGAGACGCGCTCTTCGGGATATTACGGTCGTCGTTTACAATGTCCGCCCGTTATTCCGAAGAGAGCGATGTTCGAAGCGTGCGCAATAATGTCCATCGCAAACTGATCGCCCGAAGAGCGTCGATGAATTGAAAGATCGCGCGTTAATGTCGCGCGCGAGAATATTCCTCTTTTCGTCGCACGCTCTTCGAGTTTCGACGATGTGATCGTCGAGATCGTCCTCTCATTCCTCGCCGTTGATTCTCTTCTGCACGTGAGTTAAATATCGCGCGAAACCCTCGCTGGCGTGCTTTAGAATCGTCAAACCCAGTCTGAACTTGATCTCGGCCACCTTCTTCACGAAATTGAACAGACTGAATCCCTCCGTGGGTCTCTTCGTGGTCGAGCTGTCGAACCACTCGACGGTCGTGTCTTCGGAATCCTTGGAACTCGACGTTGTGCTCGAGTGATGATTATTTTCGGACGAGTTTTCCGAAGAGGAGTTCTCGTTCGCTTTCTCGACGATCTTGGATGTCGATTCCACACCCTCGACGTTCGTCGCGTCCTCCGCGTCCCTCACGGGATTCCTCGTGGCGGATTCCTTCGCTCGCGTATTAGCTTCTTCCTGATGTTTCTTCTTCTGTCCCTCGAGATCTTCCACCTCGTTGTTCTCGTTGATGTGTTTCGATTTGTGCGGCTGCTGCTGATGTCCGCCTGGCAGTGCCGAATCGATTATGTCCAGAATCTCGTTGCTCAGATCCTCTTCGTTTTCCATCTCTTCGCGTTCCTCCTCGATCTCGTGCCTGGACGGTATTATCTGTATCACCGATTCCCTCTTCGATCTCGAATGCCGATCGTCGGTAACGACGTCTCGTTTGACTTTGAGAGCTCGCGGCCCGTGCTCGACGGCCACCGCGGTGGGCGTGATCTCGATCTCCTCGTAAGCGTCGTCCGGCCTGATGGTCGACGCGTCCAGATGACCGTAATTGTGCAAGTTGCCCGAATTCGGTGGGAAATTGTAACCTTGAGCGATGTCTCTCTCAAATTGCGTCTGACCGATTTCCGTCGACACGTAAACTGCTTTGCCGTCTATCGGTAATGCAGCTTTTACGTCGTAAGGATATTCTTTCGGTATATTACCGACGACGAACTGCCGATCCGCCGAGCCCGGAACCTCTCGCAGATCCAAATGCTTATTGCGATCGTAATAAACCGGCGTGGTATCGGAAGAATATCTGAAGTCCGTGTTGCGATACTTCACCGCCGACTGGGTGTTCTCAACGGGTCTGTAAACGGGCGAAGTTGACACCGGATATCTCGCATCGAGTTTCTTCGTTGTTTGCGTGTCGTACGCGCCGTCGTAATGCTGATACTGATAGTAATTGCCGTTGAGATCCTTCACCCTCGGGTATTTGTTGTCGTAGTTCGTCATACCCTGGAACACCTTGGACAACACTTCCTCCTCGCTCTGTCCGTAATTGCTGCCGTATTCGTCAAGGTTGTACTTGTAATTCGGCTCCACCTCGTAATTTCTTCGGGATATCGTGCCGCCGAAGGGATACAGGAAGTACGAGGCTAAACCGAGACCCAGACCTACCAGAGACATCACGCCGAAACTGGGCATTACCTCGCGACTGAGGAAGTTGTAGATCTGGGTGCTGATCGTCTTCTGCGGCTGCGTCTTCTTCTTCTTCGACGGATTTGGCGCGACCTTCGTCTCGGGCGCGATCTTCGACTCTTGAACCTCGTTGTCCACGACGGTGGTATCGGTAACGCTCTCGCTGATGTCCACCAAAGACATTGTTGCCGTCGTCGAACTTGGCGCCAACGAGGTCGTGGACGATGGTCGTTTACGTCTGCGAACTTTGTTCTTTTTCCTCTTTGAATTCTGTCTCGGTCGCTTCGTCGTGGTCGTTGTTGTTGTTGTTGTTGTTGTCGACGTCGTCGCTTCCGTTTGGGTTTCCACGTTAATTTTCGTCAATTCGGGATTAAAATCAAATTTAAGATCTATCCTGGAGTTGCTGAAATCGTCCGTGTCTTTCTCCACGATTTTGTCCATCTTATCCTTGTCGACCTTCTCGATCTTCAAGATCGGAGCGTTCACCTTGATCGGTTCTATCTCGATCTGCGTGGTCTCGTCCACGGATCCGGCGGGTTTCTTCAGTTGCACCTTCAACACGTTGTTCACTTTCGTACCCGTCGGCTTTGACTTTATCGGCACCTCCACAAGATCCGCAATGGATACACTCGAGTGGGAAGTAGGATCTGAGCTCGAAGTGGTTGTAGCGACACTCGGAAGTGAAGTCGACGTCTTTTGTGTATTCATAAGCACCGAAGCTTTTATCTTGGTAACGAACATGGGTCTTTCAGTGTTTTCCGGTTTATTATGAGGATTTGTGATAATCTGAACCGGTTTGAACGTCACTTTTTCGATTTTGCCAGTTGACGCGGATGTCTCGTTCTTCGTCTCGGGTTTAACTGTGGTTCTTCTTGTTGGCGTGGGTTTCGGTCTCTGCTGATTCGGTCTCGTTGGCTTCGTCGTAGCCGGTTTCGACTGCGAAGTCGATTTCGGTGTGGTAACTTTCGGCTTCGACGTTGTTCGAGTTCCCTGATTCTTCTTTGTTGTATGAACAGTTGTTGAAGAAGTCGCTTCATCGCTCGTCGAGGTGCTCGCGGTCGTGGTGCGAATCTTCAAGGTCGTGCTCGAGGAAGATTCTATTTCCTTCAGGTGTTGAGTAACTCTCTCTGGCTTCAAAGAAGTGGTTGTGATCTTCTTCGTCGTCGTTATAATCGGCTTCTTTGTGCTCGCGGTTACTTTCTCCGTAGTTATAACGGGAGTCAATAGCGGCGTTGTCGGAATTTTTTCAGGCTGCGAGATTGTCTCAACTTTTTCAATCGACGAGCTCGGCCTCACCGTTAGTCGTACTTCCGTCTGGAAAGGTTGATTCAACTTTATCTTTTCGACCTCCGCACTCTTCACGGTCGTGGACGGCGGATTCAGCAAGATCCAGGTGGAAATACCGCCGGTGGTCGTTGGATTGTTCTTGTAGGCTGTTATCAGCCGCGTCGTGCTCATTTCCCGCTCGAGTTCCTCTTCCGTAATCGCCATCGCCTGGCCGGGATGGCTGTTCTCGAAGTAGCTGAACTTGGAGTTTATCGGTCTGCCGAAACTCAAACCCACGGACTCCGAACTGACTTCCTTCGTCGACGAGGAGGAGACGTTGTTCTTCTCCGAGGGTTTTTGCATCACCACGTCGTGTTTGATCTTGGTAAGTTCCTTGTTATTGACCTTGATCACGTCCGTGACGTTGAGGAGTTGAGTGGCGACGGTTCTCAACGACTGATCCATATATTGCAGATCCTTCAAGTCACGGGTGCCATTTAATTGTCCGCTGAAAGAGAATTTTCGTCATCAGATTTCGTTTTTAAAAAAATAATCGAATGTTGTTCCGTTGAACACGTTTATATTTTGAATAATTTATGATATTATGACACGTTATATTATCGCGCGCGTTATATTCGATCCCGTTTTATGAGAGGAAATTTATACTTTGAAAAACTGATATATCGCACAATAGTATTTGATTACAACAATTAAGAAGATATTTATTACAGTGTTACATGTTTAATGTTTTAGTAATCTAAAAAGAAATACGAAAAATTCTTACAACTGCTACGTGTTATTTAAACATTATTCTTACCTTTTTTTAATACGCGATACCGTTAGAGCTTTTCACATGTTAATAAAAATATTGCAATTACTGTCAAGTATCACATGTATAAATAAAAAGGAAAGAATATAAAAGCAAAAAGATTATATGACCCAATTTTAGTTTCGTTTTGTTTTTAAACTTTCGAAAATTGTTTCACATGTTTTTTTTTCTACTTTTCTAGTAGTTTTTATTATTATAGTTTTTAATCATTAAAAATAAACCATATATTAATTTCAATTTCATGTTTCAGAAACACGTACGAGAACGCAATCACAGAAGAAGAAGAGAAATCTTTAGTTCGATTTTTTTATAATAGTTTCAATACATTTTAATATACGGTCGTCTAAGAAACTTAAACGTTACTTAATATTTCAAATTTTTGAAAGTTTTACAAGGAGTTGTGTTACGGTTTAGAGTAGCATACAGGAGAAAGGACTTGAGGAAGAGGTTTTACAGATGAGAATGTTGTATTTTTTACAATATAACTAACGTGTATGAAAAAAATATATGTGTACAATCGTTCACAAGAGAATGTACTAGACATTTTTTCGAATCATTTATTAATATTACATATTTGTTTTTTTTTTTTTTTGCGTATGTGTGGCACAAATATTGCTGATATCCTGAAATAATGTAAACTTTACACTTTGTAAAATATATTGACACATAACACATAAAGAATAGATGCTTATATCTTAAAAATAAATATATTATCACCGAAGAACTTACGTGTGAACCGTCTTGTAAAAAAAAAAATTGAACAGACGATAAAATCTCGCAATACACTTCGACTGTTTTACAGATAATAATCTTAATAAAAACGATGATGTGTATAAAATGTATATAATAAAATTATGTTAGTAGTTGTAATCTGATTATATCGCTCATTTCATGGTTATTCTCATGTAGGACTATTTTTTTATTTTTTTATTTTTTTATTGACAGTTAAACATCGAATGTTTCCTTATCGTATTTACTTTCGACTAAAAGAATAAAATAAGTAAGAGTGTTGTTACAAATTATATCGTTATTAAATTATATCGAACTTACACGACCTAATATAACAGTTAATTGTTTAACATTAATATATTTTAATTATTTTGATTTACATCTAAAGAAAAGAATGGACGGAGAGATGCAATAAACATTGTTTATATTTTATTTGTAATCGCTGTATTATCATTCAATGAAAAGTAAACGTCTTTTTTGATAAACGTAATTGCGAAGTTGAATTGTTAATATATGTTTCGTATAGTAATGCAACATAATCTAAAACAAATACAAATTAATAATTGCCTTCTCTTCGCTTTTTCTCCCTGCCAACTAAATCCCGAACAAAATAAATAAACGCTAACTCTAGTGAGACCGTACATACTTGCTTCATACAAGTTTTATGCCATGGCTTTTTTATTTTGCCAAAAGACACGCAACTATCAAGATCCACAATGTATCCAGAACGAACCTCCTCGAGTAATCTCGAGGTAATAAGAACATAACGAGATCGGTTACGAGCTCGATTCATCTCCTGCGCTTCCTCCGTCTGCTCTTCCACTCGTTCAAACGATCGTACTTGTGCACGGCTCGTCTGACGAATTCTTCGAGATTCGGTCTGAATCGGATCGTCACCGTGTCGGCCGCACGTCCGAAATCGAGAACGCTCGGTAACGCCCACGGGAAAGCAACCGCGGCTACTCCGAGCACACCGGCCGCCATTGCCGCGAACGGCGCCGCGGCCAGACTGAAGAAACTATAACCCAACGGATTCATAAAGCTGAAGTACGTGAAGATCGAAGCTATCGATTCCAACACGCCGCCCGGCGACATGTCGAAATCGTCCTCGTCGTCGTCGTCGTCACTGAGAGAAGACGATCCCGAAGACGAGGACCCAGGAGCGGCGCCGGGTCTGGAAGGGAGACTCGGAAGAGCGGGAAGCTGCAAGGAACCCGGTGCCGGGCCGTTATTGGCCTGACCCATTACCGTTCCGGGAGAATTTAAGATACCAGAGGGTACGTTCGTGGAAACCGGGGAGTTTATGGAACTGGGACTTCCGGCGACAGGTGTTCCACCGACCGGCGGAACAGCCGCGGAACTCAACGGTTCGTCGACCGACTCCACGGTGGGACTGTCGACGAATGATTGGGCTGGACCGTCAACGGATGCGTCCTCGGCTGGACCATCCGCAACCAGGAGACTCGGACCCGCCGTCGCTTCCGCGTCCGGCACGTTCGAACCGGATATACTGATCTGAGTACCCTGAAACACCTCGACGGTCGAAAGCTGCGAGACGTCGGGGTTGTTCTGTTCGGGAATCCCAACGGGATTCTTCTGGGACTCGTAATAGTCGTTCGGTCCCGCTGTATCGAACGGGCTCGAACCGTACGATCCGGTTGACGCGGTTACGTAACTGTTAGCGGAATCTTGATGAGAGAGATCGTCGATCTCTTCGGAATATTTGTTGCTCTCGTTCGCGTCGCCGTAGCTTTGGGTCGCTAATGAGGTTATCTGTTGAGCCTCGGTCGGCCCGTCGCTCGGCCTGATCACGTTCGTGTTCAAAACGTGAGAATTGACGATTATGTTCAGATCGGTGCATCCCTCTTTGCTCTGAATCGTGTTGTTCACGCGAGTGTAAGTGTTGATCATAATAGTCGGACAGTTTTTGTTGTCCGACGAAGAAAGGGTGTTGGTTTCCTGTTTCGACGGCTTGTGATTCTCATCCTTCTGGGAGGTGAACATTATGTGAACATTCGGTCTCTGAGGAAGATCCGGGGAAGATTCCGCGAGAGACTCCGAGAAAACCGTATGATCGGAAACCGCGTTCTCGGACTGAGGCGTCTTCAGTTGCGTCACGGTCACGTTCGGTTTCTTCACATCGTCGTTCAGAATGTGAACGACGGTGTTTTGCGTAACGTGCGTCGTCGGATTGTAAACGGTCTTGTTCTTCAGCAACGTCGCGTCGAACGGAAAAGAGGGAGTCAAAGCGGATGGAACTTTGAGCGAAGAAGAACTCGTTACGTACGGACGAGCGGTTGAGGTCGGGGATGGCCACCGAGTTGGACGACTTGCGTAATCTACCGTATCGGAATTTTGATTGTGAGACGATTCCTGAGCGACGATTTTGTAATCGTTCTCCTCAGTACCGACACTCGGCCGATTCGGTTCGAAATTGTCGTAGATCGATTCCAGATTCGACTCGATCGGTTTGTAAACATTGTTGTGATACTGATTGTCGTACTTCGCGAAGTACGTGTCGTTCGGCGAGATATCCGGTATTCGCAGCCAGTGAATGATCTTCTTCACGCTGGAGTCGAGAACCGGATCCGGATGGCCGAAGTAGCCGTCGTTGTTCGTCAACAAAATCGGTTGGTCATCAGCCTGATGACCCTCCGATTCCTCCTCCAGCGACGAAGTATATCTTTCGTAATTGTACAAATCCTCGATACTTTCCAGAGCTTCGTTCGGCCAATTCTTCAAGTACGCGTTTTGCTCCGCGGACAACTCGTCTCTGGTTTTATTGCCGACTCTCTCGCTCGTCTGATGACCCGGCGACTTCTGAACGAACGGAGAATAATGATTCTTCGTCAGTTCGAATGTCGCGTCTGGCTTCTTCGCGGCTTCTGTTTGTTGAGCGAAATGGCTCTTCGTCGAGCTCTTCAATTGAACAACCGCGGACGGAACGTTGTTGTTGATCTTCAACTTGGAATTCAACGCGCTTACGTTGCGCCGATTGACGAACGGACGTCGAAGCTTAACGAAGTTTCTATTGAACGTCTTTCTGTGAGACGCGGCGACTCCCGATTTCGAAATTTGGATCAAGGTCGGTCGCGTTTCTAATTCGCGCGTCGATTTTTCTGAATTATTCAAGACGTATTCGACGCGCCGAATACCGCGGCGAATCGAATCGATGACGACATCCGATTTCAAATTGTCGTGCGAATTTGTCACGACGACCGAATCTAATCCGAGTGAATTCGTGCGAATTTTTGCATCGCGATGATCTCCGCGACGTGAAACGTTTGTCATTTTCGACGAAGAAGTATCCGAACCATTTGCTACTACCCAAGTATCGTCTTTATTCGCCAAATTGTATTCAATCGATCCTGACTTTTGTCGAGATCTCGTCGTATTGGAATTATTTGTCTTGCGAAAGTCAATTGAAAAAGGAAGATTCGCTGAGAAATCACGTCTCGCGTGAACTGGAATCGCGTGATCGACTGTCGACTTCGAATTTCGACTCACGTCAGACCTTAACTTCTCGAAACCATCGATATCCACCTTTTCGGAATAATTCACTCGACCGTTACCTAAACCGAAGCTCTTATTCGACGCTAAAGCAGATCTTATCCAAGCAGCCGCCTTATCGTCGTGAATCGTTTTCGATTCACTGGAAGAGCCTCGAGGTTTGTTATCGCTCGAATTTCGAGCGGCGCCGATTCTCGTCGAGAGTCGCGCGAATAATTTCGCTCTCGACAGCTTTGAGGGAACGCCCGTCGCTTGAAATTCGGACGTCCAATTGTCATCGAGTTTCGAACGACGGGCGTTAAACGTGCGAGCGTTAATCTTGCTCGTAGCGAGATCGCTCGCGCGTGAAACGATCGCGCCGTGCTCGCGCGACGAATCGACACTATCGCGGAAATACGTGATATACGACTTTCTATTACTTCCGGAAGTCCCTGTATACCTGCTATCGTTCCGAACAATGTCGTGCGAGACGTCCGGGGTTCGAATGCCCCGCCATCCCGCGCCGCTCCTTTCCGATGTTTCCACTCGTGAATCGTCTAAAAAACAAAAAACAAAGAAAATTTTGTTTTATTGAGGTTGGAAAGAAATTTGTTTTTTAACTTAGCTTAATTTTCGTTAAATCTAACAAACAACGTGATTTAATTCAATGGATGAAATATTAAAAAAAAGTAAAAAAAAATAAAAAAGATAATTTTTTATCAAATTTTAAAAAGATATTAAACTTAATAAATGAATAAATAATAACAATAAGAGACACATATAAGACAAATTTTCAGCGCAACATCCTGCTAACGGCTCTATATTAATTATTAAATATTAATTATTTATTCATTTATTAAGTTTAATAGACTTCAAGAGCCCGAGGGATCATCCTCAATTTAACACTACTTAAAAAGATACTTTGGCGGTTCAATTTTTAATTAAATTCCACAAACAACGTAATCAATTATTTAATCAATTTGTTTTAATACATTTTTTAAACTTCTAATCACACCACAAAGCTCCGTTAAAGCTCAATTTGCTGACAAGCAAGCGCACTGTCTTATTAGGAAATTTGATTTTGCAAGAAAAACGTGAGTCGTAACGACAGTACGTGAAGCAACGGCGCTATTGGTGGCTTCACGAAAAAAAAAAAAAAAAAAAGACAAGCTGCAATCCGATACGACTGCGACAATGTATAATCACGCGCAATGTTTCTCGGATGGTAATTTCAGATCTGATGTCTAATAATAAATATGCGTTTTCTCCGTAATGAAATATCGAACCAATTGCTTCTCGTGTAAAACGAAAGACTCGTTAGCAAATACACAGAAGGAGAGAGTTGTAGCAACGTGGAAAAAAATACACGTCGTCGAATTTTCCAAGCGAGCTCGACGACACGCACGACGTGCGCGCTTGATGGTCAGAGAGTGAAATATTTTCTTTATATTGCAATTTCTTATTGCGGTAAACGACGTCGTCGCGACGATATCGAACGAGAAAAGATAGCGGATTTTTGTGCAATTGGATAAACACGGTTCATTAGCCGCGATTACACGCGGCGAAGAGGATATAAATTTTAACGTTAGAAAATTGTTTCTCTTATATGTTTCTTCCTATCTCGTCATATATTGCGCGCGTTTTGTTGTTGCTATAAAACGTGTACCGAGATCATTTTCCACATCGCGATCTCTCTCGAAATAAAAAAAAAACATCGTCGAGGAAGAAAGTTTTCTTTGCGAAACACCTACCGCTTTTCTGAGGCCTCGTGTCGCCTGATCCCGCCACCAGCAGGACCACCACGATCTTCAATATCTGGATCCGCATTTTTGCACTGAAAAAAACAAAAACGAAGATAATTAAAAATTTATTTAATTTGTTTAATTAAATGTTGTTGTTGTTTCTCTCTTCCAATTAAATTGTTGTTGTCTTGTCTCAATTTTATCTTTCTTTTATTCTTTTCTGTTATTTTTTATTGCAGTTTTTCTTAGATATTTCTTTCCTCTTTGCCAAAAGAAGGTTTCCTCCGATTAATAAGCGAGTGAATAAATGAATAATTGTAAATTGAATAAATGAATAAATAAATAATTGTAAATTCTCGGCAACTGTCGAAATTGCGACGTGAGAGTTACAGAAGACACGAAAAGAACAGTAGTACGCGGATCGAAATATTTACGCGTGTTCAGAAACATTCTGTCCTCGACACGATGACCTACACTGAGGAACGTCGAACCTGATCTCTAAGCAGCGATCTGGATCGCGGATCTCGTTGCGAATAAAGTATATGTCATCAGAGAACCAGTCCTGAAGAAGAGAAGAAAACCTCGCGAACTAGACGCAAAAACCGACGATCGCAAAACGAAAGACGCAATCGAGCCAATTGCACATACGGAAAAAGCGACGGAAGTTGGATGGAGCAAGTGCGGAAGTCGAAGGTTTTAATTTTACGATCGCAAAGACGTGTGACGCTTAATATTCATGACGACAAGCGCGCATGCGAAAACGTTGTTGCGACGAAGGATTTGCATCTGCGATTTACGTTTCGACAGTTGTGTTCGCGCAATGTTTCAGCAACGTATCCTCTTCTCGTTTCGCAAAACTTGGACGAGGCAGCAATAATGCGCGCGCGCGCGTGTGTTTTCTTTGATTTTTGTTAGATAAAATTGTTAAATAAAAATATTCGAAACAAACAAATAATTTTCTCCATTCGATTCAATCCTCTTTTCTCTAAATATATTTTTTCCCTTCTCTGCAAAAACTGATAATATTTGTCAAACTTTATTTTCTTTATAGAAAACGTGTGTGTATCGCAAAAAACTTTCCAGTCGATAACGATTTCCGATGACGCAATTGTCGCGACAGTTTGTTTTTTGGCTCGAGTCTTTTGATTTACGTCTGGCCGGTTCGCGACGCGCATTTTTGATGATCGATTCGCAAACGAAGGTCTTGTTTGGACAAATCCTTCGTATTCGATTCTCATCTTTGATTGTTTCAACCACTTCGACGCGAGTCGAATATAAACAGCGACATTATTTTACCATTGGCATTATTTTGCCATTTGCACACCGCGCGCAATATATGCCATAAAAATGTAGAATTTTGCGCAGTAACGTTCGATGACATAACAACATAACGTGATAATAAATTTAAGGAATTTAGTTTATTAGAATTAAAATTGTTTAAATAATATAATTTTATATATTGTATAAATTACATTACATTAATAATATATTAAATAATATATGAATTATATTACATCAATGATATAATTTTATAACTGTATAAATATTACAATTTTATAATTGTATAAATTATTTAAACAATATAATTGATATACGTGAACTAATTTGGAACAATTGTTCTGTACATACCGTTTCATCAGATAAATAAATAAGATAAATAAAAGAGATAAATAAATAAATAAACAAAATTGAGGAAAAAGTTAACGCAAAAAATATTAAATTAATGAGCGAATTTTATGTTAATTTACGGATAAATAATGTAATACAAGTGACGTAGTCTGTGGGCGAGCTTAACGTTCGCGCGCGTAAAAGTCAGGCATTGAAATCTCCATGGGCATTGAAATCTCCATGGGCATTGAAATCTCCGCCGGCTGTCGAAAATGTTTTGGGCTTGAACGAGTTGTAAATGTTACATTAACGTCTCTCTCTCTCTCTCTCTCTCTCTCTCTCTCTCTCTCTCTCTCTCGCGATAGAACCTCTGAAATTCTCCGGCAATCGGTTGTCATTCGGATGTTGTTTTACCGTTGCATTTTTTCGTTTACAGCACACATATACAATATATGTATATTCCGCTAACGGTACCGGGCATCGATCTTCTTCGGGTATCCCTCTCGCATGCGCGACGCACGCTTCGTGCTGCATCTTCGTGAGCAAGCGCGATCGTTCGGAAGAGAGATTGCACGGGACATTATTCGTTTGGAATGATCGTGTAGAGAATCGTAGACAAGACGACGGGCGAGATATTTCCTCACGAGTCACGTGTACCGTTAACTTAAGCATTTCGACGTTGTTTCCACGCCAGAAAGTCCTGTCACGGACAAAGATATCTCCCCCTCCGCGTAATTAAGTGCATCGTATTTCGAAAGAAACTCGGCGCGACTTGTTTAACCTCACTAAATTAGAAACACACACACACACACACACAGTCGGTTGTTCTGTGTACCGTTGCACCGTAATATATAATTGTTATTGCTTGCGCTCTTTTTGTTTACGCACTGACTAGTTTCGGTGGCAGCAATTTTCCGTAACATCGTTGCGTAAAACGTCAGTTACGCTGAAACTGATGGGTCATCTTTTATTTTTACTTGAGCGCATTACGGACGCGACAACGCAAATTTTGTCCGCGAAAAAACTATATAAATCTGTTTTTATTTTATAAAATTAATTTTAATTTCGTCTTCTCGGTTACAAAACCGGCAGTATCGCGTTAAGTCACACACGGGCAACAAAAAACCAAATTCGAAATATTCGAATATTTTTTTCGAAGAAGGAGATTTAATCCGCGCTGTAGCAGTCGCGTTGGCACACGCTGGACGAAGGAACGAGGTTTCTTTTCCGGAACGTTTGAGCGCGAAAAAAGATCGCTCGGAGCAATAAAGCCACGCTATATTTAACAAACAAGATCACCAACGAGGGTCGCGCGCGCGCGTCCACCGACGCTACAAATTGGTTCACGTCGTGTAAGAAACGCGATTAGACGAAACGAGATGAGAAACGGTGCGCGAGCGTGTCCGGCCCGGGAGCGTCTCTTGCCGATATCCGTTCGGGTCAGTGAATCTTCAACGTTTAATTTTATTTCACAAACCGAATCAGAATCTTGTTGTTCGCGCGTGAGAAGAGAAGATGCGAATTGTTGCAAAGAAATTCTTTTCACCGTGACCGTCCCGCACAATAGAACGGTTCTCACGCGCGTACGTGCCTCTCGCCGCGATTCTTAAACTCAATCTGCGTTAAATAACGATAACACCTGCTGTTTCGTTATCGCGAAGGCGTAACAAAAACTTCATCTTCTCAACTGCGACGCGTGATCTCGTTGCGAGAGATGAAACGATTTCGTCGAAGCGTGAAGAAACAAATTTTATTCTCCGGGCAATAATCGAACAAACGAGAAGAGGAATAAGAAGAAAAACGAACGAAAATTGAAAGTATTCGCTCACGTATGTAAGAAAAATGTGCAATAATTATTTTTCCTTTTCTCGAAACGTCCAGTGGACGTGTAATGTTGTTTTTATTTTCGATGATAGTTTAAATCATGAAGTTTCGATGACTCGTTAAAATAAATGTCCCAATATGGCACATTTGTTGAAGAAATATAATTATTAAATATTAAACACTATAACTCTCGATGTTTCGAGTATTATTTTTTAACATTTTAAACAATATTATTAGTTTCTTTATCATTAAATAATTTATCATAAAATAATCATAAAATAGTTTCTTTATCATTAAATAATTTATCATAAAATAATCATAAAATAGTTTCTTTATCATTAAATAATTTTTAATAATTACTATTTTTAACAATTGTTTCTAACCTTACATACATATAGATAATTGTTTTGTAGTTATTTTTAATAAGTGTTCGGTCATCGGGACACTTTCTTTTAAATGCAACTGAGCCTCTTTTCAAATGTCTAAATATTAGAAGAGACAGGCTTAACAAAAAAAAAAAAAAAACCGACCGGCTGATGTACTTGAAAATTCAATCGAGAAAATTAAAATCTTAGACGTAGCGGGAATCGTGGTGTCTTTATTAGCCAAACGGTTAATTCAGCAAAAGTAGGACGAAAACAGCATATTAATGGCATTGATTGCGAGTACCGGCGCGGTAATCTCGAGCTTCTTTCAGAGCGTGGCGCGTATATAAAATTCCTAAAAGTGTTCCCAATTACGTTCAATCATCTAAACAAGACAACCGACGAGACATCCGTGAAACGCGACCTGGCAAGTGTAACGTGTAAGGTAATGATGCGAGAAAAAAAAAAAAGAAAGAGACAAGGAAAAGAGGAAACTTCGTCGCGGAAGCGACGACTTGCTCATTAAAGCGCAATGAAATGGATGAAGTGATGATCTATCTGTGGGCACATCGCATCCTTAAATCTACTCTCTGATGTTCGTTTCCTGGCAATGTCTCCTGTTACGTTATTCAGGAAGACCTTCGTGTGAATTCGATATCTCTTTTAATTAAAAAATAAAAATAAAATAAAAGAACGTGACTAGTTATTTTTTAAAAATAAATTCTATTATTGTTTTTTTGTTTGGAACACAGACTGTGGTACGAAAGACAATAAATTGGATTTATTGCAAACTGAATCTTACCTATGCATCAATTAATCGCCTGGACAATCGCATCGAAGCACTTGGGAACGCGATTTTAACACACACACACCTCGCGACGCACAATCGATCGCGAAAAAATATATCGCGGAAGTAACACGACACTGCGTCACTCGAATTCCGCGCGCGAATTTCCACAAAACGACCACCTGCCGTTCGAGAAGGAGAAAACAAGTAACACCAACGTTACGAAAAAACAAAAAAAAAAAAAAAAGAACAATGACGTAAGAAGAAGATCGATATTTGAAATAAAAAAAACCTCAGACACAAAAATAAATCGATATTCGAAAGTTAACAGGAGAAGAAGAGGAATAAGAAGAAGATCGCGATCACACCAACCGCGGGACCGATGCGTGTCGAAGCGGAGAGTATCTGAAAGACGCGTGTCGACTATCCGGACGATCTTTCAACAATGGTGCACGGCTGACTGGCTGCTCGACAAGTCGTGCCCGGCAGGTTGGAGAAGGT